AATATTATTATTTGAATGAAGATCGGAGAAGAAAGATAAGCGGAAGCGAAGGAGAAGAATTACGTGGACCCTGCTCTGTTCGAAATGCTTATGCCTTCGGAGAAGGTCGAAGAAAGAAACATACCAAAGTCTTCAAGTAGTAATAGTGATGGTTTTAGCTCCGAAGTGATTAAAGGTTATCGGACATTTAGAATTATCTCGAGAATTAATGAATTTCTTTTAATCCCCGAAAATTGTTTCATTGACTTTGGAAATTGTGTTTGCAGGCTCCGAAAGTACGTCCTAACGAGCTGAAAACAGAGGAACACATTCTTGTGGGGGTTGTTTCGTGTATGTATGAGAAAATGTGAAGAGCTTCTTTTCTTTCGCGGGGGTAAGAGATGTAAATAGTCTCGACGAATCGGGGCAAAAGGTGATATTAGAGTTTACATCTTGAAAGTTTTTTATCGGTTTCGACATATGAATATACACCGGCATTGAACATCGAAAGGTAGAACGAAAGTGAATCGGTATTCTTTTTTTCCTTTCATAGTAAAGTTGTTATTTTGAAGGAACAAATGTAAGAGTCTTAGTTAGTAGTGTTTAAAGGTTTACATGATAAGTTTTACATGTTTTTTTTTGTAATGCAAATTAAGAAGTTACATCTTTTATCTCATTTGTAGCTTTCATGGTTCGATCTTTGTACACATGACTCCCCTTGTGCACATGATCCCCACTTGTAGTTTGAACTTTAATTTGTGCACATGACCCCCCGTAATTTGAATTTTGTGCACATGAACCCCCCTTGTAGTACGAACTTTGTGCACATGACCCCCTGTAATTTGAACTTTGTGCACACGACTCCCCCTTATAGTTTGAATTTTGTGCACACGACTCCCCCTTTTAGTTTGAATTTTGTGCACACTACTCCTCTTGTGATTTGAACTTTGTGCACATGACTCCCCCTTGTATTTCACTTGGTATAATGCTGTATTGAAAATATAAGAGGATCATATGCACAAATTTAAAAACTGCAGGGGGGTAAGTGCTATTTAACCTTTTTCTTTTTCTTTTCTTGGAATAATCTAATAACGATCTCAATTATATACTTTTCAAGTTTCAATGATCAATGATACTAGTGTAAAGACATAAGTAGGCCAGAACATAATAGAAAATTTATTCGTTGAGGGGCTATAAATATAGTTTCCCACCTGAGGTAGGAGGAGCTTTCTGTTATCAATATGTGTTTTCTTACATCGGTTTTTATCTGGTCTTATAGTAATGAAATTACAATTAGCACAACCGCTGATCCCGACGGTTGTCTGAATGTGAATTCCTCTGCCCTGGACCAAGCAAAAGGGATTCAAGCGAATTCGTTTGAACAGTTCCCTAGTTTTTTGAAACAGTTGCTTAAATCGCATCTGTCTGGAAAATTTTATTTGGTAAGTCGAAGTTTTGTCCTCTATAAATATATAAACGTTATTCATGCGTCAAACTATGGAGAATTATTCTTTTGTGACAGGGTTTACCAAAGAAATTTTGTGATGCACATTTGCCAAGCCACGATGGAAGTATTATATTGGTTGACGAAAACGATCAAGAATACAATACAAAGTACTCTGTTCGAAAAAATAGACTTGAGTGGTGGTTGGAGGGGTTTCTCCATTGAACACAAATTGCTAGAGGGCGACGCGTTAGTATTCCATCTGATTGAGCCTTGCAAGTTTAGGGTAACTCTTCAAGCCTCGTTTTTACATGCATATTTTTATCTTTATCTAGTTAAATGTGGGTGTTCATGCATATTAAGCATCGTAAATAATGGAAACAGCTGGATTATATGACCTAGACAGTTAAAAGTTAAGGGTAATTATATTGGTGTCTGAATGTGTACTAGATTCAATCAAGTTATATTACTGGTTCATTTTGTATAATATTAGTTGCAATGCGTACCTTAATATACATGGCCACGTAACTTTTAGAATTCCTTTCTGTGTGTAATATAATAGTTGACAAGTCCAGTGTCGGATTAATGCGTTTGTCATAAACTCATAATGCATGTGCCTTTACCACTTTTATCTTATTCTCGTCCTAATTTACAGAACATGATTAGGGTCTTTGACAGCTTAATCTTTGCTTTTTTTTAAGGTATACATTGTGAGAGCAGGCAAAATAACAGAAAACGAAGGGGCAATCGGCCTTCAGACTTATGATTTTGAGAACATTAAGCCAATTAGTGCCGGTAAGATAGCTCACGTGTCATTATTTTTTTTTTTTCTTACCTTTGTAATTCTATATTTGCAACATTGTTCAAGAAACATAGTGTAAAAACTTTTGACCAGCGAAAATGGAAGACCAAATGGAAGAAAATGCATGTACTGGAAAAACAGCAAGGCAGCTGTACCTAAACTCTCTTGAAGTAGTAGATAGCCATCACGAAACAAAAAAAGGCAAGATTAACACCCGGCAGTGAAATTCACATGCATCACTCTGCCAATAGCATCGATCAATTTAAAGATATAAGTGGTTTTGAGGATTTCAAGATCCATTTGGGTGGCCTAATTCTCGACTCGGAGATACCTAAAAATATCAGAGCAAAATATTACAACCTCTGCTGCAGTCAAAGAATGTTTCTGCTCGACCACCTTATAAATGGCCTCAGCACAAAGTTAGCCGTTGTAATGATTTCCGAAACTACCAATATATCCGAAGCTGTGAGATCTGCTGACGTGTCGACTTCTCTTCATCATTTGGAATGCTGGGAAAAGACTTTCAAAGCTTTCGAGGATTTAGGAATGGCCGTCGGATTTATACGCAATAGGCTGCATAAATTACTGGAAATTTCGCGCGAAGCACAATCGAATAACGAGTCGAAGATGATAGTGAGAGCGCAAGCTGATCATGTGAGCGGTAATCTTGAGACTACTTCTTTGAATGTCGAAGCACTTATAGGAAGTCTAGAGGCCGAAATCGAGACTCTCAGATGGAAAAACGAGAAGCTCGGATTTGAATTCCGTGAGCTTGCTCGAGCTCCATGGTAGAAAAGAATGTTACATTATGCAAAGGTGGATACAGATAACCTTGATTTACGAGCATAACTCGCGTTTTTTAGTGGTGGTTTATTATTATTATTATTATTTTTACTTTTTTGGTTAGAAGTTTTATATAAAACAGCTAATGTACAGAAGAACCGTAGCGTAAATTTTTTTTTAATATATATAACTTGTCGAAAATAAATGTATTGATGTTATATGTTTATTTATATGTAATGTAGGAAATTGAACTTCAGAGGTTGTCTTGAGTTGGCCTGAATCATGTTGTATTTGAAAAGGCCAAGTGTGTGGTGTTATTAAATTGGGGAAAATTACTGTTTTCATCCCTCAAATTTGCACCAATTTTATATTTGGTCCCCCATGTCCAAAAAAACACATTTGGTATCTCATGTTTCAATAATTTATCAATTTTTGTAATTTCTGTCAATTTACCGTTAGTCCGTCAGTTAAGGAGGTGATGCACATGCTTGATTCCATGAGTACTAACGCTAAAATGACTGAAATGACGAAAATGTTGAATTTTTGAAACATGAGGGACCAAATGTGAAGTCGGTGCAAATTTAAGGGATGGAAACTATATATTTTCGCTATTAAATTGTGAATTGTTTTCTACAAAAAGATATATCTTTATTTTTAATTTTTATTATGGGTCTTTGTAGGGTGAGACCACTTGTGTTCTAAATTTATATGAGATATATATTAATCACCATTAATTTTCTAAGATTAAATCCGAACCCTAGGAAAATAACATGGCCTATGTTCTAAAAAATGAAATACTTTACCAAATTATCCTTCGATTATTTTTGTATTAAATTAATATAAAATTGATTAATATTGAATTGTCTAATTTACCCCCTACAATGTTTTAATTAAATAATTAATTTAAATTCATTGTGACCGAGTTTTATTTGATAAATAATCGAAAAAAATGCATTAATTGGGGATAGAACTTGGGACATCCTAATACATTCATCACTCTAACCATCCAAACACATTAACTTATTATGATATATTTAACCATAATTGTATAAATACTGTTAATTAAAATATTAATTACAACATTTATTATTATTAAATGATATTAAATAGGGTAAATTACAAACACCCCCCTGAGGTATGATCAAATTACAAAAAAAACCCCTCTTGTTTGGATAATTACATCTACCCCCTCAACTATGATTTTTTCTTAGACCTCCACCTTTATGGTGCCAATTTCAACATAGTCATCTAGATTCCGTGAAATGTGCTCTAGTTTGTACTCGTTTTGAGTAAAAAATACAGTTTCCGATGCACCACAAATTGATATATACAAGCTAAAAATCACATATTATGATCATCTTGCTTCATAATGTAGAGTTTGAATGGGATAAAACGGGTACAAAAGTGATAATATTACATATAATCTCGAAAATTTCACTTAATTTGAGGAGTTGAGGGGGGTGGTTGTAATTATCCAAACAAGAGGGGTGTTTTTGTAATTTGACCATACCTTAGGGGGGTGTTTGTAATTTACCCTATTAAATAAATTATTAACATATTTAATATAATAAAGTTTGAAAAAAATATAAAGAATTGCAGTTCAATACGCCAAACATCTATCATTAATTATATAATATTAGAATTATTAATTAACTTCACCATTTAAAAATGTAAAGAATGCTCAATTAAATATAAAAAAATGCATAACTTAATTCAAACTCACTTATGTTATTAAATCGATAGTGTGACAAATCCAAATAAAAAATAAAATAATATGTTTTAGAAGAAGAAAAATTTATAACTCATTCCAATTAGTAGTTTTCTTACATTAAAATAAAATTATATACTACAAATACTATATAGTGATTTTTCTTTTAATATTTAATTTAATCAAATAGTAAGATTTGAATCGATTAAGTTAAAATCCTTTCAATTAGTAAACATTATTCAAATATTTGAATCGGTTGCTTAATTATTGACATAACGTGTTACATAATTGATTTAACTATTTATAAGTAATGTCTAATGTCTTTGTAATTCAATTTTGTCATAAAAAATAATAAATTTAATTCCTAACACATGTACGAACCTAATCGTAAATTATAATATTTTATCAAAGCGTAATATTTGAACCAATTAAGCTCAAGTTATTTCAATTTGTAAACATTATTCAAATATTTGAATCGATTAGTTAGCGCGTTCAACTACTGACAAGAACGTCTTAATCAAATTAACTATAATTAATTAAAGTGTAATACATTTTTAATTCAATTTTATCATAAAAAAATAATTCCTAAATTACGTAAGAATCAAATCATATGATTAATTAAAGCGTATGATTTGAATCAATTAAGCGCAAATCCTTTTAATTTGTAAATATTATTCAAAATTTTGAATCGATTAAGTTCAACCACTGACAATAACGTATTAATCGAGTTAACTATTTATAATTAAAGTCTACTATCCTTTTAATTCAATTTTAACAAAAAAATAATAATTTAATTCATAAAATCGTAAGATTTAATCTAACCATGAACCGATTAAATCTTACGATTCTTACGAATTAAATTTTATTATTTTTATTATAAAATTCAATAAAAAAAGATACTAAACTTAAACTATACATAGTTAAATTAATACACTATTGTAAATTATTGACTTTAACCGATTCAAATATTTGAATATTATCTACGAATTGAAATGAGTTGAGCTTAATCCTTCAAATCTTTGAATATTGTTTTTGAATTGAAAACACATGAGCTTAATTGATTCAAATATTACGATTTAATTAAATCTTACAATTTACGATTTAATTCAAACTTCAAATTCTTTCGAAATTCATTTTTAAATTACACGAGTCGATCAATATTTCCTTAGATTTTTAAAATATATTATATAAAGATTTGTTAGTATGGGATATTATTAATATATAATAATAATTATATGCGAATTAATAATTTATTTAACATTATTTATATAAGTTTTATAACCATTATAAATTGTAGCTTTGTGATATATATCCGTATTGTTAGTTTATTGACAATTATGTGTTGTGTCTTAATGGTAAGTGTTCTTTTATGTTTTCACATGGTCACAAGTTTGAATTCTATAAATTTTAATTCAGCAATAAATATAGATTTAAAATTGCATTAAAATAGAGAGGGTAAAATTGGCATTTCATTAATAATTTATAATTTGCGATATTTTTAAAATAATTATTGTACAAAGGGTATTTGCGACAATACATAAATGAGGAAAAATAGGTTTTTTTGTTAGGACACGTGTCACAATTTGAAGGGGTATCTCATATAAATTTAGAACACACGATCTCATGGTAGAAACACCCATATATATATATATATAGTGAAGACGAAATTAGGGTTAGCTGTAATTACAACTAGATCTCATCTGGTTTGAAAAATTACTTATAACTCGTGAAACACTACTTTTATCCATAATTAACCAAATATTGAGCACACTATAGTATATATCATGTCCTGAGGTTAGATTAAATTACGTAATTACAGAGACTTGTTTTAGAGTTTAATTTAACTATAAATTAAACTTTGGCATCAAGGAAATAATTACGATTTTGAAGTTGCAGATGGTGTGTTTGTTTATATATGAATGGTAAAGACCTACCCGGTGTAATATAGAATATTAAACCGAAGTTAGCATGGCAAAGAAAGATATACATACATCCGCGGTCTATCGTTATGAACAGCTCGCGGTTGTAGTTGTTGTAAACGATATGAAATGTTGGCGTACCGAAATTTCGATTCTGTTTACCGAATTAACATCCCTAATTTACCTCTGGATGGGTTTTTTTTTTGTAAGATAATACAGAATTAACATCCCTAATTTCACAGGGGGTTTTCCACTATTTCAAGATTACCTAGGGGGAATATGCGGCATTAGACCAAATTTCACAGGGGGTTTTCTACTATTTCAAAATTACATAGTAGGGTTGTGCACGGCTCGGTTCGGCTCGGTTTTTGGCTAAAACCGAACACGAACCGAATATATCGGTTTTGTAAAATTAAAAACCGTGTATGTCGAGTTTTTATTGGTTCGGTTTCTTTCGGTTTCAGTTCGGTTTCGGTTTTTTTCGGTTCGGTTTCGGTGATTTTTCGGTTCAAGAGTAACTATATATTCAAGTACTACAAACAAAAGAATACAATTACAATTACTTTCACAACTTACTAATGCAATAGAAATATAAAATCTTTAATTGCATATGACTACGTAATTTAGATGATGTATTATGCTTCATTTTTTTTTTCCTACTTTCATCTACCACATTATTAAAACCATGAACTCAAGTAAATTTTTAATTACTAAATAAATAAAATACAATTTCTCAATCTATGAACAAATGCTTAGAATGAGACAAGTAATTGAAAGATAGAAAATAAAAATCACGGTAAAATAATACATATATTATATAAAATGAAATCATTTTATAGTTTCGGTTCGGTTAGGTTTTTCGGTTCGGTTATTTACCTTTCCACCATACCGAACCGAATAATTCGGTATTTCAAAAATAAAAAACCGTACATACAGTTTGCCATTCGGTATGGTTTGAAACAGCTCGATTTTTCGATTTTTTGGTTCGATTTTTCGGTTTTTTTGCTCACCCCTATTACATGGGGTACTTTTACAATTTATTCATACAACGAGCAATTAAGAACTCATTAAGAACTAACAAACAAAACATAAATTGGAATTGTCCTATACGAGACCTGGAAGGCAAGGCAACTACATGTCAATAAAAATAAAATAAACTAAAAATTTGCATTTATTGTTTTGCCTATCGAACTATATATACTACTAGTATTTCACCCGTGCGTTGCACGGAGGTGAGTTTTAAAATGAGAAAAATAAGTTTATCTAAACGACTATTTCTTTATGACAATACCAATTCAAGTAAAATAAAATGGAAAGAAATAAAAAACAATGAACTTTATCTCTTAATTTAGAGTTATAACATATAAAATTAAGTTAAATATTACAAATAAGAAAACATGAATCGCGCAAAACACGATATCAAGATTAAGTGAAATCATTTTAAACATATGGTATAATTTTATTTCTTGGATTGCAATCTACTACACCATGTGAATCTTCTGCAAAAAAACTAAGGTAACAACAAACACTGTAGCAAAGAAGTAACACGATAGATATTCAAATAACCTGCAAGCTTATCACTAATGACGTTCAATAAGTGATGCACATTACTCAAACAACAATAAAACTTATAAATATTGCATAAAAAATATG